AAATGATGACTGCAACGACTATAAAGTGCAAAGGGTAAGATAAACGACTTGACTGAATAGTCTGCACCTTACATTGAATGCTGTCATCTACACATATCAAGTCTTAAACAAGCACATGACATTCCTTATTCAAAACATATACATAGGGTGTAATACTTTTGTGAACTGTGTAAGGATCTAATGCTACAGGGGAAAAAATCTGCAAATTGGGGACTTACCAATGCTATGGAATTACATCATGGTAACCCTCATCCTTGGAAGAGTAGGAATAATATTATAATATACTGTCACACCACAACATTAACAAAAGCTTCCTTTGTACTCAGGTATATATATCAGGGGATATGGAAAAGTAAAAAAATATCAGAACTTTTTCATCTCACATTCGCCCTCTCCTTCCTTCCAACCTTCCCTATACATACATATACAAACATACCATATTGTAAGCACACATACATATAAAAAAATCTTCCACCCTCTCATCAGACATCAAACAACAAATGATGAAAGGTCACATCAAGAAATACCCGATTAAAATTAAAAGTTAACTTTCATCAGCATTTATGTCTTTAAATTTCATCACATTTCACATATCAAAAACATCATAACTCTTGATTATGTTGGAGAATATATCTCTAAATGTACCACTGACTTGCAGTAAAATGTGGGTAAAACTGAAAATGTGAATGTCTTGACACTACCACAATCACTGTACACTCTCTTGTGTAGCAAATAAAAATATAACAGACCACAGGACATTCTAGTAAAGGTATCCTTCCCTTTGTGCGAGTCTAAGAAGTTAAAAAATGCAAAATGAATGGAATCACAATGTATAATTATGAAATTGAGACAATACACCATTACTATACTATAGTCCTGAGCCATCCTTCCAAGCTCGTTCCAAGTGAGCTTCATCTCTCTCATGTCCCTTTCCACGCATCTCCTCCATGTTTCCCGTGGCCTACCCCTGCCTCATGCTCCCTGTGGGTTCCACTGCAGTGACTGTCTTGTGACGTTTCCGCTGGGCTTTCTTAATTAAGGTGTATCCCATCCATTGCCACTTTCTTAGTCCTAGTTCTACTTCTATATCCTCTTGTCCTATCCTTTCCCACAGCTCTTCATTCCTTATTTTATGTTTTATAGTTCTCTAAAATGTGCGTATTTTATGTGATATGGGCCAGTTGCCTTAAACACTGGAAAAACACCTTAGGCATCTACTTATGGTGAGCATCCTCAGAGAGGCCAGGCTTGTCAGCAGACATGCTAGCAGGTATTGATCTCCCTCAAGGACTAGCCCTGGAAACAGACGGTGTGCGAACCCTTTGCACTGGGACCAACCATACAGAATTGATTGCTGTCCCAGTCAACTGTTCCCCAGGACCAACATTCCGGAAGTTGATCCACAGCGAATAACTTTATCACCTACATATTTTTGGCAAATTTATAAAACATATCAATACTTTTCCCTTATGAATAGAATGTTTATCTTATTCTTCACGAGGCAAAGAAAATTCATCAAAATCACTTAAAACCATCAAAAATGCCTTTGAAAGCATTTCAGTCCTGATTCATAGTCATTTTCATTGCCTTTTCACCCTCTATCAGGATATAGGCCAAGAACAAAGACTTTCCACCTTTCAATATCCTGAGCTAGCAGTTTGATGCTATTCCATGCCTTTCCACTTTTCTGCGAATCAACTTCTGCGGCTCTTCTCCAGGTTCCACATGGTTTTCCCTTTGATTCATAGTACCTTCCGATTAAGGTCTAGGCTTAGACTCATTCATTTTATCAAGAATGGTGACAGATTCGAAATGACTGACGAAAGAATATTCACCAATAAAGTACTACCTTCAAAAAGAAAGATGCACTAAAAACATTTAAACTGATGGTTTACTGTCTACTTTTTGGTAATGTCTACACTATACATGATACTGGAAGTGCAGGCAGATTTAATGCTATTTTAAACTTGGGTTACTGTAGCTACTACCTTGTTAAACGGCCGGTGAACAAGCTTTCACACCTCAGAGAGCAGTACAAGGGTCGAAAATTGAAAATGAGAACTCACTCGCAAATAAAAAAAGAAAAAAAAAGAATAGCAGGCAAGATAATGTAAATGGTACAACTAAACCTACCTCAGGGCAACAAAATCCTTTTTACTTAACTATAAATGGAAAAATAAATCACATCTAAATACATGGAGAGTACTAAATTTTTTGTTGTCAAACCCTACAAAAATGGTCATGATTTTTTTTTTAAGCAAAAAAAAAAGAAGTAAAAATGACTAGGTAAAAAGTAAACTGACACAACCTCAAACAACAAAAAATCAAATTTTTAGAAACTCTATGATGTAAACATATCACCTACGAATCCATCAAGGAAACAAATGAGATATTACACTTACATAACAAGAACTTGAGTACTTGGTCCTGGGAGCAACATCATAGCACTCCGGGCATTGACATAAAGAAAGAGAATGCTTTCATGCCAACAGAGTACAAACATCATGGAAGTTTCCGGCACTGAGCGCAATGCAGAAACTGTAGCACCATTTTTATAACCATCAGGGGGGGGGGAAGAAACTATTCTACTGAATATAACATTGGGCAACCAGAAAAGCTCACAACCTCATCCGAGTAACCATAATTAAAAATACACAAGATCAGTAATATCACATTCAAATTCGTAGGATGCTGATGAAAAGTTGATGAACGTCCGAAAAGAAGGAGACAACCAGAAAAAATTTTTATCACAAAGCAAATCTAAAATCAAAGTACAACGTTTTAAAAAGAAAAAGAATACATCAACAAAAATATCCATTACCTGTGTCACAATTCAAACATCTCAGAAAACATGTTACATTATTTGCGTGGTGGAGTAAAAAAACAAAAACTTATGACATTCATTCAAAACAGTTTTGCTCATATCAAACTGACATTCAAAACCAGACAAAGAGCACACCTTTGTTAAGTTACAATTGACCTTCATGTTACATGTATAAAAACACACACACACACACATATGAGGCCCCCCCCCCCCCCCACACACACACACACTCACATACACGCATCAACCTCAAATTAACAACATTGTCACTCTCGCTACAGCAGTAATTCCTTTTGGCAACATCAAGGCAATAAATTCTCTCAAAATGTGGAGAAAATCATCTGTCAACTTTAACTGCTACAACTCCAATTGTGTGTATTTCGTGTTATGGTAAAAAACATAAACGCATCTCAATTCAAAATAAAATAAAAGTTCAGCAAGATGCAGTAAGTAGTAGGTCAAAATGTAAATGACATATTAGGTGAAAAGTTAATAACTATTTTAAGAACAAAGCGATAAGAAATTAAGTTTACAAAGAGTGAGCACTTTACAGTGGAGAGTTAAATTGGATAAGTTTTGGCAAAGTTAGGCAATATTTGTACACCTAATATAATTTCCATTTAATAATCATGTTTTGACAATGTATTTCTCAAAGGTGCTTCTTACACAAAGACAAGGCAGTTTTTACAGTTTCTTATGTTAACAATATAAAAAGACACTCATTAATGGACTGGAATTCATATAAAAGTGTTATAAAAAAAGATGAATAAAAACAGACAGCAGACTAATCATCATTTCGCCAAGAGGGCAACTTCATAAAGCAATATGAAAAAAACCCAAAAAAACCCCAAAACCACGAACTAAATGCTTCAACCGTGTCTGTCAAAGCCAACCAAGTCTGACCTGAGAGACAATATCCCACGAGACAGATTGTCTTTGATTAAAATAAACTTCCCCCAAACTGGATTTGAACTCACACCTTTCATATACAATGGCAAAGAGCCTAACCATAAGGCCATCTGCGGGTGAGATTTTCCCCATTTTCTAAGAGTTTGACCATACATTTGTCCCCTCCATTTTTTAAACCTACATCCATTTTTTTAAAAGTTTCAAGCGCCTGCTTGAATCAATTATGTTTAGGAAGTCTTTTAAAAATAGGCTTTAAAAAACTATTTTGCAATTTTGGGTCTTGTTTTTTCATGTTTTCTTCATTTTTTTCAAATATTTACTTTTCCGACTTTAAATTACATCTTCTCCTTTATTTTTCACCTGAATAGCTTCATTATTTTACACATTGTTCATCCATAGGTGACCTGTACTGAAATAGAGCCCTTTCTGAAGATAATAGAAGAATAAAATTACAATCACGGCTTTTGTTGGGAATTAAATCTTTTTTTTTACCATTTATCTATGTATATATTTCCAGAGTCCATAATTATCTTCAACATCGTTATATTACAAATCTGGCATTATTTGTTCATTACATAGGTGTTGTAGTTTGTGCTTGCTAAAAATGAAAGCCAACGGACGAAAACTAAGAGAGAAAATAGCTTTTGAAATTTGACGAAATTATCCAATATGGCGGACGTTTCTTGGTTACCATGTGCTTATAATAATAAATATTTACTTGAATTTTTTCTTTGATGTCTGACTAATATAAATATATCATTGTTGCTATATATAGTAAAGGGATATTGATTTTAGAAATTCCACCAGCAGATGGCCATAACACCACAGAAGTCGGATAGCTGTGAAGAATGAATCAGTTAAGATACTGGAGAATTAGAATAGATCATATTTCTTTTAATATTTAAATAACAACATTACCTAATCCATTTTCACAGCTAAAGAGAGCACATAATGTGCTTACTGCAGTCTTGGAGTAAGATTAGGCATTTCTCAAACTCAATGTTCTTCCATCACACTTGTTAGACTTAACTGTGGACACTCTCATTAGACTTTCATTTGCAGTTCTCAAATGTCTGGATGGTACATAGGACTCATAGCAAATCATCTGTACTCCTATCCACCTCACAGTCCTTGCCTTTTCTTAGTAACGTAACAACAACGTTTGCCCTTCTCCATAAAATCCCTTTCACTGATAACTGTATGCTTATCAAAAATTCGTTCTGTCCTTTTATGCCGCATTCATTTATTCTCATTTAATCTTTCTTTCTTCCAAAGTAGGTGACATAGTGAAACTAACATATAAAATAGTGTGCTTGAAAATAAATGTTATTAAAAAAAATAATTTCATTGTAACTTGTTGGGACTTAGTGTCTAGCTTGTGCCTAGTTTTCAAAATGCATTCTTTTCCTATAATTTACATTGTCGAACGAACATCTGGTGAACAGTTGGAGCAGGACTTTTAAAAAAATGCAAACAATGAAAGCATATTAATAAACTTTAAAAAACTAAGTTTGAACAAGACAGATGTAAATTCAAAGCATGCCATCATCTCTCAACGCAAGCTGTTAAAAAACCAGAGCATAAATTACATTTTGGCATGATTTTTCCAGACAAAAAACATCCAGGGAAGTGATATCCAATAAAATAAAGCCTCGATGACGACTGAAATAGGTCAGCTACTAGTGCGTAAAAAGAATCTGCAACATGTTCGACTGTTAGACGCTACTTAGATAGAGGTCATACAACAACATATGTAAAATTCTTATTCCTCCTCAGAACACAAAAAAAAAGGCAATTATTAAAAAAACGCGGATTAATGTCAGAACTCAGATCCTATTGAGAAAACATGATGTGGAAATGGAGCGCTCAGCTCAGGAGTACAGGGAACTGATGTGTGCATATTTATATTTCAAATGTCATGCAATAAGACTTTTAAAAAGTGCAGCCTGGATTTCAAAAAGTGCAGTGAGGTCTATAAATAATGACAACTGGAATAACAAGAACTCGGGATAAATGAGACAATTTTAGCTTCCATCGTTCTCCTTCTTTACTCCTCCTATTATAAACAATACTCACAGTAAGAAATTTTAGTAGTGGCGAGAAAAGTGACTCTGGTATGTTACGCTCAAATAATGTGTGTGGAGGTTTCTATCTGCAATCCAACACTTTCATATTTTGTCTATAAGGCATTCTGTTGTTATCCCCTGAGACTCTGGCAAAATTGAGACCGTTGAAATGAAATATAGAGTTTTATTTCCATACTCTTGTTGTTACAGTATTTAACTGTATCTACATATTCACTCGGGTCAAACATAAATGTGTCACACATACAAAACAACATATTACATAACAGTCATAACAGGTTTGTTCCCTTTGGGTTTGAAAGGAAAGAAGTAAAAGTTAATTTAATTAAGTAGTGTCAGCCAAGACAGTCAAAGTATCTTTCACATACATACTGTAATGGATAGAGTTTCCGGCAGTATGTTTATTATATGTCAGCAGTATCAAATCTTCTTCTACACAAGTTGTAGAATATTTGAGAAACAAACAGTGCACACAAGAGACATATATTACAGTGTTAATTGTTTGTATATTTGAGTCTTTTAGACAGCACGGAAGTAAGTACTCACAAATGAAAAAAGACACACATTTGCGCCACCTTTTTGAAATTAGGAACTTCCGAAGACAAAATCTGCCATTGATTTTGGCTCGTTAGTATGCTGCCTAATGATCATTTTCAATTGATCCATAAATAACATTATGACAACATTTCTTAGCATTAGCAATCAACCATTGATACAAACCAAGAGTCAACACCAAAAGACCAAGTTGGACCTCAACCAGTATGTTGTAAAATGTCTTTCTCCCCAACAAGCATAAAATTTTCACGAATTTGTGAGTTTGATTTTATTAGCAAAAGTTATAATTTTCATAAGAAAAATCAAGACGACTTCTCAGGAAGATTGGGTGCTTGAGTGGGTGCTTGAGGAAAACTGTTTTCAAATTTTCCCATACTTGGTTCTCATAAAAATACCCATATCATACTGAAAAGTGAGTATTTGCCATTAATATTGAGGGGTGACCGACCACAGTACATTTTGGGAACCGTGAAATTTTTCCAACCACGACAATTAGGCAGACTTAAAGGTGGTAGGCAAGGAGGAGATGCAATACTATTTTTTTTCATTTTCCACATCGTCTACTGTGCTGGTTTTCCATTTGAAAATAATTTATAACCATGTTGTCTCTTTTGCTTTTTAAATTCCCTTGTAGAAGACTCTTCAGAAAGCTACCTAAATCTTTAGAACTGTCTAGATCAATAACAACATTCTAGATTTTGATTTAATCTCAAGATTTGGATCTAGATCATGATTTAGGATAAAGATTTATTGGATGCACAGCTCAAATTTCTTTTTCTTCTTTTATTGAGTTAAGACACGTTTGTAGGACAATCTACTTTCACAAAGATGTACAAGTACGACATGTAAGCATATTTTTTTCTTGTGCTTTTAAAGTTATTTCAAGAAAGAATGCTTCAAAACACATCTCAAAATACAACGGTCCCAATGTAAATAATAGTAAAATACACCCTTTCTGCCAATCACCAATTACTCCAGGTTTTATACATAAGTGCTGCATCATTTTTCCATTATCCCATAGGTCTTGATAGCGTATTAGATCGTTGGTATTTGCACATCCTGGCAGCCACATGCTACGATAGGTTCCATCCAAAGCTTAGTCATCCTGAAAATATTACACACAGCCCAGGGCAAGAATGTGGAGATACTGGGTCAAGTTCCAAAGCCAAGGGAGAAAGCCATCTCTATCAACGACTGGTCGGCAGACTCATGGAAACAGACATACATCTCCTGGTGGCAAGGCTCTCTCCAACATCGACTGGGGTAAAAAGGACAAACATTTTTAAAATCAAACTACAAAACTTGACCAGTGCCTGAATTTTTGTTCAGTAAACATAGGTGTTCTGTACGTGAACACAAATTAGCTATCATTTCATTAGAACCATCAATATCAGTCAAATATACAGAAAACAGTTATCAGAATATCAGTTCACGAATTTCTAAAATGGATCTGAATACAAGCATCCTATTTTGTAACAAGAGGGTACTGCAACAAACAAATAATCAAACCCTGAAAAAAAGGTAAAATGGAATAAGTTTAACACCGCTATCAACACTGTTTGACTATCTAAGAGGTGGGACCTCCCAAGTTTAACATCCACCTCCGAAAGAACTGAGTCAGTTCGGAAAATGTGTAAAGTGCCTTTCCCAAGGACACAACATCAGACCAATCAAATGCCGTTTCAAACCTGAAAAATGACTCACCCAACAACCCAATAGCAGAGACTGGAAACACGCTTTTTGTCTGAAGGAGTCTGAAATTCAACTTGAAACAAACAGCCTTGCTCCAGGACTTCCCCTTTCAGTGCAGAAGTTGGTCGTTGTCCACTACTCTTGTGAGAACTTTCGAAACCGGTACTTCTCTGAAGAATTAAAAACAACGGTAGACACAAAATTGCCCATTAAGAAACAAAATAATAATCTCAGTTTTTGACAACTGAATTTAAAAACAAAATTACAGCATTGAATGTTTGATAGGCTGCACTGCTGTACTACCCTTCTCCTCCCAAGGAAAGAAATGCTAAATGGAGAGACCATTCACTCAGTGTTGACACAAGATTATAAACTAAATAATAATAAAGAGCATTTATATAGAGCATATCTCTTTCCCTATCCAACATCTATCATCCTTATCCTAATTTTCAGCACTTATATGACCTATTTTCATTGAAAGTGCCGTTAAACTCTTACTAAATCTAAACTAAGTGTGATCAGCAGCCACCACGATTGTCTTTTTGTGTACAGTCAAACCTGCTTGATTGGCCATTTCCCATTTTGTGCCTAGCACTAGCATACTTTTAATGTTATAGAGACACTGTGTAAGACAGCCACCTATCTAAGACGGCTACTTAGCTCTTTGACAATAGGTGACCATCTCAGACGGTTTCAACTGTATCTCTTTTGTCAAATTACAGAAAGGTATTATATGTATTTGAAAGGATTGTTGTATGCTGAAAGGGCCAGCATGTATGAAAGGTGTCATTGTGTCAGCTGTCAATTTTAAAATATTTTTTTTAAGTTTTATTTTATCAGAAGCACCAGGAGCCATCAGGAAGCAGACACTACAGAAGTGACCTTTATTATCCTCATTAAGGCATTCGAAAAACAGAAGAAGAAACAATACACACAAGAGTGCTAATGACAAATTGCCTGGGCTAACCTTTGCGATAAATTGTGATCTCATGTTCTCACAGGCCTGACAGAAATGATGCAAGACATCAGCCTGCAGGGCGGAGTGCACCTCCTTCAGCTCTGTGTCCGTTGGGGAGATGAGAACGCCTTCACCAAAGTCCAAGTGAACGTAGGTAAACAACGTATTCTCCCTACCACGGCTCAACCTGCGAGCAAGATGGATATATATGTGAAGTGTGCTGACAAAATGAGTTACTTTTCGGATTCGAACCTCATGGAAATAGATATATCACACTTATAGGTGAAGTTTTTATTATTTATATTATGAAATAATATAGGGCATGTTATACTTAAAGAATATGGCATCAATATAAAATCTACAAATTTGACCCTAGAGTTGATTTTTGGCCAATATCTCCATTTGTGGATTGCGAGAAGTAACTCAATTTGTCAGCACGTTTCACATATATATGAAAGATTGAAAGAATAAACCAATAAAAGAAAGAATTCGTGAAAATTCACCATTCCTCCCCCTAAAAAAAAAGAAAAAAAAAAAGAAACATCCATAACATTGACAACCTCACATTTGACAATGACAAAATAAACTTGTTTTTCTCTCTATACTCCTTAATAAGGGGACGTACAAAACCCCTTTTCCTGCCAAATAAATAAGCATAGAGCGATTTCATCTGTACATGAAAATTTAGTATAATTTTGCCACTGCACACTTATTAAACTAAACAGTTAATGAAGAGTAGGAACAACCCCAGGGCAGTCTAAAATACAGGATTTTAAGATTATGCTCACTGTGAGCTGTGAAAATGTAAAAATAAAATCAGCCCAGGAGTCTAATCACACCTGCTTCTCTTAAAACCTGCCATCACCCACTGTATATAATTCTTTTTTAAAGAGAAAATACAGGCTGATTTCAATAAACTTACTTATGAAGACATTCATTCAGTATATATATATGTTGTCAACTTCATTCCAAAATCATGTTAATTATTTTTTAAAGTTTTGAGAAAATTTTAGAAAAAAGAGAGCCGCCAGATCAAAACGGTGACTTAGATACTTGTTATTTTTTTCAGCCTGAAACTAAAAAGGAAAAGATGAAACAGAACTAAACTCGATTGTAGGATGCCCATTGATGTCTTATTCCAATAATGGCCGTATCCAGAAATTCTTAGAAATCAATTTCAGCAATTGTGAAACAATGTTGATGATATGAAAAATGTATTGTACAAATGGACTCCATAATGTCTATTACCTTTCTCCTCTGACAAAATCGTGAGGCATTTCAATCTGCATGACAGAAAGACTGCGGGTGATACTGGACACATCTGCTGCTGAGCTCATCCGACTGCTCTTGCTCTGTAGGTCAATGACATAACAACCATCAGTTTATTTTAATTAAATTTCAATTTTCGTGACTACAAATAACACAGACAAAAGTGAACATGGGCAGAGATCCACTAACCATCCACATTTCAAATGCCAGATTTTGTTAACAAAAAAACAAAACAAAAACAAAGCCATACAATATAAACAATACTTCATAACACTAGAGATACAAACTGCAAATGCATAAATCAAAACCAATCCCTTAAAATAAGCTTCAAAAGAAGAAAGCTACTGGTAAGGTGGAATCCACTTCTCACATAACACAATGGCAAAAATCAGTAGCTTGACCACTCAGCTGAAACTCAAGATACTTAACCCTTCAGTAAACTCTATCAAATGTCTTAAAACCCGTGAATAAGATCCTAAAATATAGTTAAAAGGTTAAACATCACTCCTTAGAAGCTGTGGTGGTATTTATATTTCATCTACACAAGCCAAAGAAGAACAAAAATGCCTGGCAAGCTCTCATCAAAAACGGATTCCTCTGCACTAATTTCATCTCTATGACTAGATCTAGAAGGGTACCCCTTTGAGTCACTAATAACAATCAACAAACCTAGGAGCACCTGCGTATGATCAATGAGTCTACATAACAAGATGGGCCACTTCTCTCTTTGAGCCAATTAAAAAAGTGTCCTCAAAATTCGGTGGCGCCCTCTTCGCAAAAGCGCACCTTTTGCGAACAGAGTTATCCTACTTGAGTTTTTAAAAATCAAAGTGAAACTAGCAAGTTTTGAATGAATTTCGGAAGAACGCTTTTTTAAAATGGTTACGCTGACAAAAAACCTCTTCCGGAGGAAAGGGTGATTGTTTTCTTCGTTTAATTTGACTTTAGAATGAAAGGCGAGAGGTCATTAAAATATAAATAACCTAAAACTCCGCACTGAACGAACCCGAACTACTGGTGAACAGCAGTCGATCTGCGCACGCAAGGAGGTGCTATTCCTATTCTTCTTCTGGAAAAACGAAAGAGAGCTTCAAAACAGACTGCAGCGCCATCTGAAGCAAAGTGCATACTTCCTGCGGACACTTTTTTGGCTGAGTGGCCCATCTTGTTATTTATTATCTTTGGTATGATTGAAAGAGGAAAGTAAAACAAACCTTGGGAGGACCAGCACTACTTCCACTCCCAGCAGAGTCATTTGAACCGTACGACAGTTTGCTCCCTTGCCTTCTCATCACAGATGTGTTGGAGGAGTCATCAGCTTTGTCCTCTTCAGCTGCTGCAACAGTGAAGAAAAAGAGGGTGGTTGGTGGGTGCTTTGGTGTGGTTTGTTCCTTCTTTCGTATTGAATATTTAAGGTCCTGATCTCTCCTCCTTCTTTTTTGTTTTTGTTACTCTCTTGTAACACATCATATCTTTGGCACTTATATGACCTTATTGTGTTGCAAGTGCCGTAAAACTTTCACTAAAGCTACAACAAAGAAGAATGAAAGAAAAAAAAATTCAAGACAAAAGCTCAGTATACAAACAATTTAAATAACCTTAGCAATTTTGATTTTTGAATATTTTACACTGCAAACTATTAGGAACCCCTTGAAATGGATGATTTCAAAAACAGAAAAATTCGTCCAGTGGGTTGGAAGCAGAGTAAATTCACCAAAGTAAATTGGGTCGAACTTGCCCTAATGACAACCTGTCTAAAACAACCACCAGTACAAACGACCACTTAAAAGTAAAACTAAGGTAGTCCATACAGAAGATTCAGTGATGATACTCACCTAATCTATCCCTGGATTTTGACCTTCCTCTGTAAGCATTGTCTGTAGACTTGGTTGGGGTTAAGGCTGTGTGAAGGATAAGATAAAGCTTTAGAATACCTCTAAGTGTTAGAAATGATTCAAAGCAAAAAAAAAAAAAAGCAACCAAAACAACAGAAGGCACAAAGAGAAAAAAACCTCTAGAAGCCCATATACAAATAATCTATTTTAAACATAAGTTGGGTTTGTTGTTCGATTCCCATTGCAACTGAAGGAATATTTCCCTTAATACCATCTTAGAGTACACAGTTTGAAAGGAACATTTGGCAGAACATGGAAAAGATATAGAAAGTATATAACTACACAATTTTTAAAGAAAAAGTCTGACATCAGATAAGCTTCCATCTTTCCCTTCCCTATGCTAATGATCACAATAGTATCTCTCTCTCTCTATCTCTCTCACACACACACACACACACACACACACAAACACACACACACGAACACACACACACACTATCTCTCTCTCTCTCACACACACACACTCCCATTGTATAGAACAATTCATGTAATTAGAGTACACCTCCATCTACATTGACAGATCACGGGGAGAGGGTCCTAAGTAAGAGAGACGCTTGACGGCAGTGATTCTCAACTGATAGTCCTTGGACAGACAGAGGTAATTAGAGACTATTTCTAACAGAACTCAGAATGCTTGTTGAACTAGGCTGGAAAAAATACCATTGAAATTGGTAAATATATTCCTAATGAACAAAACAAAAATGGTTATCAAAATGAATATCACTAAATGTAAGTCAGTGAGACAAAAAACATAAGTCTGTTTCAATGAAAGGAACGAATAGAAAGTCCAACAAAATGGTTAGCCACATTATTCTTATTCAATGAGAACCTTTTTAAAGGAAATACATTTCACAGCAAGATGTTAAGCGCGAACTATTGAAATAACTTCTCAAAATTATGATGAAAAGGAAAGTTCAGAAGCAAAACGAATTTTGTCTGTTCTTTTCAAAAACGATTACTCAAGAAGAAGACTGTCCACAGATTTTTTAGCAATTGGGCTGCAGCTCCATGGCCTGAAATGAGTTGGAAAACCACAGCATTAAAGAAACACTGCAAAACTTAAGATATCTGCTGTTTTGAGTGATTTCTCGAACAGGAGAAACAAATGATCCATCCTTGCTGTGAAGTCTATAATATGACATTTATAACAGAACAGTTAGAGCAACATGGCGGTCAAAATATTACAAACCTGAAACAAAGTCAAGTCAGTCACAAAATCATTTAGCTTCTTAAGATTTAACATCAAAAGGCAAATGGTCATCTGCTTATCATTTTACTGCCCCCCCCCCCCCCAATGAATCTAATTTTTTTAAAAACCAAAAGAAAAAAACAAACAAAAACAAAAAGATCAATAGGAAATTTCAAAAACCACCACCACCACCATCAACAAAAACAAGAAAAATAAAAGTAAGATGTTCAAAAGGTGGTTCTACTTGCCACTGTAGCGCACATAGGGTCCCAACAGCTTGTATTTCTATCAAAGACTTCAGTAGTTCTTTATCTTCTAATATAAAGATCAGCTTCCTACAAACTTACGAGGTCGATGTGCTCCCCTGCTGGCTGACCGGTTCCTCGGGGTAGTGACCGTGACCAGGTGGTCAGCACAGGCCAGAGACACCGAGCTTGCTGTGTTGGTCAAGCTGAGAGAGAAACAAAACCAAAGACGATAGTAAAAAAGTACAGTGGAACCTGCTCTCACTGCCACCTGTATTAGACATTCACCTGTACAAATGAACACATTCCATTTCCTCCTTTGCGTATTTTCTACATTATGATGGCACTGTGTAAGACAACCACTTGTCCAAGACAACAATTTTCTCCTCGAAAATGGATGGCCGTCTTAAGACAATTTCCACTGTAAACTAACACTTTAGGTGGCGGAGTGGTTGGTGCGCTCGTCTCCGAAGTGTAAAGTCCGGGTTCGAGCCTCGGGTTCGGACATGTTTTTTTTTCGCCCCCTCCTGCGCACCCAGCAGTAACGAGAACCTGACTTCGAGTTGGGGAAGTAAAGGCAGCCTGGAAGGAACTGGCCACCCTACCACAATATGCCATATGCCAAATGCCTAGGTAGTTGTCTCACTAACAAGGCAATCCCCAATGTCCGGATTGGATGTGGGAACAACTTTACTTTTACTCACACTTTCCATTTCACTTAACATTATTACAAGCGCAAACAATGTGAGTCAGTATCTGTCAGTTTGTGTGCACGTGTAAATACATTTTTGGGTTCTGTAACAATATTTAAAAATCTAAATTCAAGAAAACATTTCAAACATTATTAACATACAAGTAGGCCCAAATAAATATCTTTTAAAACTAAATCATGCAATAATGTATTTCTAAAAAATACTATTACAGACACATAAATATTGGGGCAGCAAAGTATGAGCACATAGCTGCCTTCATTACAGCCTTGTTGCGCATTCCCCTACCTGTCTTCACAGCACGCCGCCATGTGCACCTCTCGTGTCTCCAACTGTGACAAAGTGGCTCGCCCCTGGTCCAACATGAGAGACAAAGGTCGGGCTTGACCCTCCACCCTGGCACTGCAGCTCCCGGCCTCCAGGACCACACACAGGTAGTAATTACGCTGACAAAAAAGAACAGGACTTCAGCTGAGAGGCAGTTTGCGCTGAATTTTGTATAATTACAGGTACATTCCTCAGGGATGAAGATTAAGGCACTGAAAATGTTAAATCTGACAGTGTTTACAACTTCATGCAATAATAGATGAAAATCAGTGCAGACACTGGGAAAGATGGATGCCTGTGGTGCCAAGGAGTGGGGCACAAATGGATTTGTTTTAGTAACAGTTTTACGCCACTTGCAACACAATAAGGTCATACAAGTGCCGAAGATTAGAGGTGTTACAAGAGAGTAACAAACACATAATAGAAAGAGGGGAGAAAAAGACAATAGATGTTAAATAAGAAATGAGAAGCAAACAACAGCAGAGCACCCGCCAACCACCCACTTGAAAATGTTAAATCTGACAGTGTTTACAACTTCATGAAAGAGTAGATGAACATCAATCCAGAGACTGGGAAAGATGGAGGCCTGTCGCGGCAAGGAGTGGGGCACTAATGGACGAACACGGCCATGATGACAGGCTGTTGTGGTAACAAGTGGGGCTCTAACAGACAAACAAGGTCATGGTTTGTTTTCGTTTTAGTAGAGGTTTTACGTCGCTCGCAACTGCATAAGGTCAAATGAGCGCCAGAAGATTAGAGGTGTTACAAGAGAGTAACAAACATAAAAAAGAAGGAGGGGAGATAAGGACGATAGATTTTAGATTGGAAAGAAGAAGCAAACCCTACCAGAGCACCCGCCAACCACCAACAAGGCCATGGTGACATGTAATAAGTTGTGAGGAAGCCCAGAACTAATTCAATTATACGTAACCGAAAATGGTAACATGACACATGAAGAAATAGCATATACAGAGTCTTTCTTTTTCGTGGGTTTTTTTTTTGGTAAGTGTTCCAGGGCGCTCGCAACTGCATAAGGTCATATAAGCGCGCGGGGCACAATAAACATTTTCAGTGGGTAGGAAATTTTGAATTTTGCACAGGTGGCAGCTGAAGCCTTCTCTTATCGATTTTAGACCACCAAAGGATCTTTGACAAGCACAACTTGCACATGAGACTGAGATTTTTCGCTTTTTTCCGAGAAGGTTAGGTGTAGATCGTTCCTACCATAAGACCAGGGGTGTGGCTGAAAGACAGCTGTAAGAAGGAGCCAAGGAGTAGCAGTAGAAAGGCTGCAGAAAGAGTCAGGAGCCCAGAAGACGGGGCAAAAGAGGTGAGGATGGGGGCAAAAGAGGAGAGAGGGTGGGGGCAGAAAGTGGACATGAAAACAGACGACAGAACATAGCCAGAGAGCAGGAGAGGAGGAGAAAGGATACAATTTTAGAGAAGAAAATGTATCCGTCGCTACCCGAGTTCTAACCCGTGACCTTTGAATGAGAGGTGAACACCTTAACCTCTAGGACATGAGAGCCCCCATACAGATTCTATAAAGAAGCAAAATGTCTGGAGTATCGCATCCATTATTAACAATATTCTTGAAACTTCAGAAAAGTGATCATGTCACAAAGACAAGGGTTAGACATTCAGGTGAACTTAACAATAATAATAATAATATTAATAACAATGATAGCAATAATAGCAATAATAATAATAATGACAACAATAATAAAAATAACGATAATTATTATAATAATAATAAGTAGCATTTGTATAGCGCTACAGCAAGCTCTATGCGCTTTACACTAAAATATATCACGCCTCTTTTCCATTAACTCCCTGGGTAAACGCCTCTTTTTTTATTAACTCACTCGGTAAAGTTGTAAAGTTGTTCCCGCATCCGATCTGGACTTTGGGGATTGCTTTGTTAGTGAGACAATTTCCTGGGCCTTCGGCATATTTTGGTAGGGTGGCCAGTTCATTTCCACGCCGCCTTTACTTCACTTTCGCCTGACTGAGATAAAAACATGATAAATGTGAAATTATGATACACAAGGTTCATTAATTGTATTTGAGTGCTACGTTCTGACTTTTTATACCTCTCTTCTCGCTCCCCCGCCCCTTTTACAGAGATTGCAAGCAGCAACAAGAGGTACTGTTACAAGTCCAACAACTGCCGTGGTCCATTGGAGGACGCCAAAGCAATGGAAATTTCCGATTGTTGCGCTGACGGCTTCGCTGGATCCTTCGGTAGCCAGAGTTCTACATACCAGTGTACTCCTTGTGTGCAGAGTAAGTGAATAGTTAACAGAGAGCGCCATCTATCTCTCTCTCTATCTATCTATCTATCTATCTATCTATCTATCTATCTATCT